TTTGATGAATTTGAGGTTATTCTAGGAATGAACTGGCTTTATCATTATTATGCCAACTTAGATTGTCGAGTGAAGCGAGTGCAATTAACAAGTCTGGAGGGATTAGAAGTTAGTGTGGTTAGTGAAAGAATTCTTCATTTAGCCAACGTGATATCGATGATGTCGGCTCAGAAGTTGATGCGATAAGGATGTCAAACGTACATTGCTAATGTAATCGATACAAGAGCTACAGGAAGTAAGCTTGAAGATATTCCGACAGTCAAAGAATTTCCATACGTGTTTCCGGATGATTTGCAGGGGTTACCTCCAGATAGGGAGGTTGAGTTTCAAATTGAAGTGATGTCAGGATCAATACCCATTTTGATGGCTCCTTATAGGATGGCCCCGAGAGAGTTGAAAGAGTTAAAAGCTCAGTTACAAGAGCTTTTGGATAAAGGGTTTATTAGACTTAGTGTGTCTCCCTGGGGTGCTCCAGTGTTATTCGTAAAGAAGAAAGATGGTTCGATGCGTCTATGTATAGATTATTGTCAACTTAATAAGGTAACCATAAAGAACAAATATCCTCTTCCAAGGATAGACAATTTATTTGATCAACTCAAGGGAGCGACCATGTTTTCAAAGATCGATTTACGCTCTGGGTATCATCAGTTGAAAATTCAAGAAAAAATGTTCCTAAAACGACGTTTAGGACTCAGTATGGTTATAATGAATTTTTTGTAATGCCATTCGGGTTAACAAATATACCTGCAACGTTTATGGACTTGATGAATAGAGTTTTTAACCGTATCTTGATCAGTTTGTGGTCATCTTTATTGATGACATCTTAATGTATTCTAGGTCGAATGAGGAGCATGTTGTTCTTCTTCGTGTAGTTCGTCAAGCATTGATAGATAAGAAGCTTTATGCTAAGTTCTCAAAGTGTGAGTTTTGGTTATCAGAAGTGACATTCTTTGGACAAGTGGTTTCGGTAGAGGGTATTTGGGTAGACCCACAGAAAGTTAAAGCTGCATTAGAAAGGGGGATTCTGAAAAATGTGTCAGAAGTTCAAAGTTTCTTAGGACTTGCAGGTTATTATCGAAGGTTTGTAAAAAAACTTTTTGATGATATCTCTACCTTTAACCAAATTATTAAGGAATGATGTACATTTTGAATGGACTCCTAATTGCCAGAAAAGTTTTGAAGCATTGAAGAAAATTTTGACTGAAGCTCCGGTGTTGGTGCAACCAGAATCAAACAAGGAGTTCACAATTTTCAATGACGTTTCCCATAATGGTTTGGGTTGCGTTTTAATGTAACATGGGAAGGTAGTTGCTTATGTCTCGAGACAACTAAAGCCTCATGAAAAAAATTATCCCACACTTGATTTGGAGCTAGCAACTATGGTATTTGCATTGAAAATTTGGCGGCATTATTTGTATGGAGAACGTTGCTACATCTTCACTGATCACAAGAGCTTGAAGTACTTGTTGACTCAAAAGGAGTTAAATTTAAGGCAAAGAAGGTGGATGGAGTTACTAAAAGATTATGACGCGTTCATTGATTATTATCCAGAAAAGCTAACGTTGTAGCAGATGTTCTCAGTCGGAAGACTTTTACTGCTTTGCGTATTTTGAAAAATCGATTGATGGTAAAAGAAAATGGTGCATTGATGGCTGAATTAAGGTTGAAACCAGTGTTATTTGATTGGATCCATGAGTTACAAAAGAAAGATGATAAGTGTTTAGCTTGGCTTGATCGAGTAGAGAAAGGTGGACTTGAGAACTTCGAAGTTAAGGCAAACATATACTTATATTTCAAGAATCGTGTGTATGTCCCTAATGATTGTGAACTGAAATGAGATATTTTGTAGGAAGCACATTGTAGTTCCTTAACGATGCACCCAAGAGGGAACAAGATGTATCAAGATTTAAAAGAGCGTTATTGGTGGCCTGGTATGAAGAAAATCATTACAAAATTTGTAGCAAAGTGTTTAAATTGTCAACAAGTGAAAGCTGAGCATTATGTGCCTTCCGGTTTATTACAACCCATCTCAATTCTGCAATGAAAATGAGAAAACATTATGATGGATTTTGTGACAGGTTTGCCTTTATCGGCGGGTAAAAAGGATTTGTGAATCGCTTTACAATGACTGCACATTTCATCCCTGTGCGAATGGATTTCTCTATGGAGAAACATGTAGAATTATATATCAAAGATATAGTGTGATTACATGGCATTCCAATTTCGATAGTTTCTGATAGATATCCCAAATTCACTTCGAGATTCTAGAAGTCTTTATAAGGAGCTTTGGGTACCCGTTTGAATTTTAGCACTGCTTTTCATCCTCAGACTGATGGGAAATCAGAGAGAACAATTCAAATTTTGGAAGATATATTGAGATCGTGTGTGATTGATTTTGCTGGATCGTGGGAAAACATCTATTGCTCATGGAATTTGCTTATAACAACAGTTATCAATCGAGCATCAGGATGTCACCGTATGAAACATTGTATGGAAGAAAGTGCAGAACCCCACGTAATTGGTATGAGTTAAAAGATCGAGAAATTCATGGTCCAGAGTTGATTAAAGAAGTGGAAGAAAAAGTTTTGGTAATTCAACATAGTTTGAAATTGGCCTCAAATAGACAAAAGTCTTACGCCGATTTGAAAAGAAAAGAGATTGAATTTCAAGTGGGCGATAAGGTGTTTTTGAAAGTATCACCTTAGAAGAAGGTGCTTCATTTTGGGCATAAATGAAAGCTGAGTCCTAGGTTCATTGGACTTTATGAAATTCTGAAAAGGGTTGGACTTGTAGCCTATCAGTTATCTTTGCCACCAGATATGGAAAAGATTCACAATATCTTCCATGAGTCTATGCTTCGGCGGTATCGATATGATCATGTGCACATCATAACTCAAGACGAAATAGTAGTTCAATCTAATTTGAAATTTGAGGAAGAACCAATGCAAATTCTAGCTTTCGAGAGCAAGCAGTTACATAATAAAATGATCCCACTAGTGAAGGTTCTTTGGAGAAACCATAAAGTAGAAGAAGCTACGTGGAAACGTGAAGAGGATATGAGGAATCAATATTCCCACCTTTTTGTGCAATGAAAATTCGAGGATGAAATTTCTTAAGGGGGAGATTTGTAACATCTTAAGTATCGGGTCATTGACCAAATTGTAAGAACTTCTAAATTCAGTGGTTGAAGTAGAATAAAGTGATAAGTTTAGTGATTTATGGATGAATTTGTGTTGGGTATTATAGCAAATATGGAATTATAACAAGGGTAAAATGGTTAATTATAGGGAAAGATATTTTAATTGGTGGTGGTTTGGATATATATGAAATAAAGGGAAGAAGGGTTGGTATATCATCTTGTTCTCTTCTTCTTCAACGTGGGCTTCATCTTAAAGGTAAAACATTGAATACCATTTGTGTATCGGTATACTGAGGAGTGTATCGACACACTCAAAACATCGAATGTCATTTGTGTATCGATACACTGAGGAGTGTATCGATACCCTCAAACATCGAGTGCTATTTGTGTATCGGTACACTGAAGAGTGTATCAATACCCCTAATTATGAAATAAAGTATAGGGTTTCTTGTATATCCATTTATTATAATTCGATATAATTAAAATAAGATCGATATTGATTCTAAATTGTTTGTGTAGTGATCGAACGTAATTGGCTTCCCGTCAGCCTGATATTTTTGAGTATCAATTCAAAAAGATTGAGATTATACTTTAGTGAGGCAAAGGTGAGTGCAACTTCTCTTTTCATATTAGAATTGAGGAAGGCTTGCAATAAGCCAACCTTAGTGTTTTCGATCGAAAACCATATATTTATTTTATGTTTTATTTAAATGTTTTATTCAATTTCCAATTGTTACAAACTATGTATTATGAACATATGAGATTCGAACCAGTGAATGTGAACATACTCTATGAAAAAGAAGCTATGTGAATAAGAAACACTTTGAATAAGAATTGAACCTAATTATGTGATTAAAAACCCAATGTATATGATGAGGATTAGAGGTATAGTTGACATGCCAATAGTCGAGGGTATATGTGGTCATTCATGATAATTATGTGGTCATCCAGGATAAATATGTGACACTTGATGCAAATTACGAGTTGTGGTGACAACATTAGTGCACAACCTCATAGTACTCAAATACTTAGATTTCTCAGTAGTATACCTTGGGCAATTGGAACAAAGAAATACAAAGTATAATTATTCATAAGTATACCTTTGATATGGAAATTAATAAGCTTTTTGAAGAACGATTGAATAAAACAAATAAGATTTCTATTCATAAGTTAGCATTATTAGTATTATCTCACTAAGTCATCGACTTAGCGTGTGTTTTCCTCACGCGTAGGTTTGAAGAAAGCAGAAGATTGATTTGTGAAGGATAACATATCATCAGAAGATCAGATCAGTACAAATTAAATGAAGGTTTTGTTTATTTTGTAAACTGTTGGCATGTATTATTTAATTTGAAATGCTCTTGTCGATTTTGTAAACTGATATAATTATGTATTTTGTAAACTCTTTCTTTTGGGTTATATATGTAAATTATTAAGATTTTATGTGAAACGATTTTATATTTGGAATGCTATTATTTTCTTTATCTTGATTGGAATAATAAGTTTTAAATTTATGCTCATTTGTGAATTCCGTATGTTTGAAAAGTCAAATGTGACACTTCAAATTGATATTTGGGTCGGGTACGAGTCTTAGGTGTTACAAATTTAAATTTTTATATAATAGTTTTATAAAAAGATTCATTTATGTGAAGAAAAAAAATAATCCAACCTCTAAAACTACCACAAAATCACGCATAATTTAAATATTCATTTATATGAATATTGTTTTTATTAAAAATCACTCATAATGGCATATATGTAATAACCATCCAAATGAGTGGCATTTTAAAGTAACCATACTTCTATAATAAATTTCCAACCAGCTGTTCTGTCTTCAATTTAAAAACTCAAAAACGGAGAGAAAAGAATTAAAAACAAGTCCACCAAACAGAAAGGAAGAAATCAAAGAATAAACCACCTCACATTACAAAGGGAAGGAATCGAGAAACAAATTCAAAGCCAAACAGAGGAAAAGAAGAGTGTTTCTTTTTTTAAATTGCAATGGCAGTAGGACTCAATTCTTGTAAGTTTGTTTTGATCTTTGCTACGGTGTTGATGATGACCGTCGATGCGATTGGGGACAGCCAAAACCAGCAGGCAGCCCTGGGCTGGATGTCAACCACCGCCACCAGATCGGCGTGCAAGGGTCCCATAGGCGAATGCTTAGAAGGGGAAGAAGAGTTTGAGTTGGATTCGGAGATCAACCGCCGTATTTTGCAAACCACGAGGTACATCAGCTACGGCGCGCTCCAGAGGAACACCGTCCCTTGCTCCCGCCGTGGCGCCTCCTATTACAATTGTCAGCCCGGAGCTCAGGCCAACCCTTACAACCGTGGATGCAGCCGTATCACAAGGTGCAGGAGCTGAGCTCTTTTTTTTTTCTTTTGAAGATGAAGTAATAATTTCCTTTTCAGGTTTTTTTACTATTTTTATTGGGGTTTGGTCGTCGTACACTAAGAAAAAAAATTGAGATGTGGAGACATTGATGATAATCATGTTCTTAGTATTTTTTTTAATTTTAACTTTAATTTCTCTGTAAAGAATTGTTGTTATTTTTTGTACTCGTCTTCCTCACAAGATCTCTAGCTTTCTTTTTCTTTCCCATTTTTGGTGATTTTCCAATTTCTAAGAAATGCAATTTTAAATCTCCAAACAAAAATATGTATTGTTAGGTGTGATTATTATTATTATTAAATTCTCTCACAATTATTTTTGTGAAGGAACGAGCTATAAAAAGCAATTCAATAAATAACTTCAACAAAGTTGAAAGGAAATACCCTTAATTTTTATTTATATCACATATAAAAGTATTCAAATCGGAAAAATGTTTTTATAATAATATTAATTAGAAAAAATGATTTACTAATTTAATAATTAAATTGGTGCTTGGTCTCGCATTATTATTCATTTATCTAAAGGTGTAGTGTAACAAAATGATTATAACGTTTTACTAAATAATTAATTTGGTTTTTATTTTTTTAAAAATATTTTGGCCCTCAATGTTTTATTTAGGGAAAAAAGATTCATCCGTGGATGAAAATCATTAGTTAACGAATGTTTGACGCTCCAAAATGGGGATTTTTTTAATCAAAATGAAATGTTCAAGGCTAAAATGCTCGAGAAATAATAAATGTCAAAATGACTATTCAATTAAATGTTAAGAGTCTTTTTACCCTAAAATAAAACGTTGGGGGGGAAAAATACTCTAAAAAATAATATGGGTCAAAATGATAATTTTGATAAATGTTAGAGGCTAATTTTAACATTATGTCTTACCTAAACATAAAATTGGCGATTCATACACATGTATTGTGTTTTTAATTTTTTTTGCCAAAAATATATACGAGGTCTTTATTGAGTCAATAGAATGGATGAAATGGCCAAGAGAGGGTGGATTGACAAATAATATTTTTTGGTGGAAGCTTGAAGAGAAATATAAAAATTGAACACAAGAATTTAGAGTAGTTCTACTTTATAGATCAAAGTCTACATCCACTACCTTAGTTATTCACACTAAGAATTTTCACAAATTAACTAATTTGTAGCTACATTTGAGGATAAGGTGTAACCTTACAACCCCTCAAGAATTATATCTCAAATTCTTGATACACTATCTCAAAGAGAAAATTACAAATTATACTTATAAAAAATCTCACTAGGAATATGTTTGCACAATTCGAGAATAAATAAGAACACTTAAGAAATACATACAAATGAGTACAAAAGTGTTCTTTAAAAACAAAAAAGAATGTTGAAGAATGTTCACTTGATTTTGACTCAAATTTGTTGTTTTTTTGCTTTTTGCTTTTATCTTGTATCTTCACATTTGACTTGAAATCTTGTTTTTATACTCCCTCTATTAATTCTAATCGTTTAGGTTGTTATGAGAGTGAATAGAGTCGTTGGGAGGTAGTTTCCCGCAATAAATGTTGTACAGAAGCTTGTAGTATCGGTACTTAGGCTTTGAGTATCGATACTCCGTGCATTAAATACAAAATATAGCCGTCGGGGAATGGTAATATCAATATTGATACAATAGGTATCGGTACTACTATAATAAGTAGTATTGATACAAGGATAATATCAGTACTAAATGAGTATACTAAAATTTGACAATTTAAAAAACAAAAGGGTAGTATTGGTACTACCATGTGGAGCATCGATATTACTATGAAAAGTAGTATCAGTACTAAAATAGTATCGTTACCAAAATAACATTTTGTTTTGTCAAACCCACAGATAGTATCAGTATTGTCTAAGCAGTATCGATATTATTGCATAATTTTAGGCTTCGACATCGATAATTGTGTCGATACTTCATGAACAATATCGATATTGTTCATGTAGTATGGATTAGGGGTGTAAAAGAGTCGAGTCGAGCTCGAGTATTGATGGGCTCGGCTCGAAAACTCTGAAATGGAGCTCGACTCGACTCGAAACTCGTGAGCTTAAAATTTTCTAGCTCGACTCGAACTCGAAATCCTGAACTGAAGCTCGTGAGCAGCTCGAAAAGGCTCGAAATGAAAAAAAAAATCTTAAACTTAACTCGATTGAAGCCTCAAACTCAAACTCGAACATGAACCTTAAATACATGAAATCTTACTGTATTTTTTTAAAAAAATCAATACATAAATATTAATATTATTATTATCAATTTATTTTTTTTTAAATAAAATCTTAATATATTATATTTTCGAGCTGCTCACGAGCTTTTCGAGTCGAATATCGAGTAGCTCGTTTCAGCTCGTTAAGAACTCGAGTCGATCTCGAATAGCTCACGATTTGTCTCGTCTCATTTACAGCTCTAGTATGGATACTACTATACTTAAAATGGATTTTTGACTTGATTGAAGTTTGAACCCTTAGTAAAAATTATTTTAAAGATATTTCCAATATAAGACTCAATTTTTAATAGAGTGAGGAGTAAAATAAGTTTTTAACCTTAAAAATAATCTATATATTTGAATGATCGAATCAAATATAATCTTAAAATTTGTTAAAAACTATTTAACATCTTTGGTATATCAAAATATCAAAGTGTGTTCAATAATTTTTGTATTTTTGAAAAATATAATGTGGTCTTCGAATAATTTTTGTATTCCATGTGACTTTTTAACTAATATTTTTTATCGTTGATTGTTACGGTGCTGATATGATAATTCTCAATGCTAATGTGATGATTCACGATAATAACACGAAAATATACGATGATTAATGATTAGAGATGATAACATGACATGTTCATATAAATTATAGTAATAATGTGATAAGTTACCATGCCAATACTTTTTTAAAAAATATATAACAAAAAACAATATTTTATTATATTAATTACAATCAATTAGATGATGACACATAATATAATATTTTAATATATATTTAATTTTTTAAAAATTTAATTTTTATTTTCAATATTTTAATATTTAAAATTTAAAATATTTTTATATTTAAAATTTTAATTTTAAGATTTTTTATTTATTTTTAAAAATATAAATAGATTCTTGAATTTTTTAAAAATAAATTTATCCTAAAATAAGATCAAAAATCAATTTAATTTATCTATCATATAATTACACGGATCTATTTAGTTATCAAAATGTGTTAATCGTTTAACAAATTCTATGTACGAAGAAATTTTTTTGACAAAAAATAAAATATTATGAGTTAATATACTTTAACAAAAATAATTATTTTATCGAATATTATGTGTTCTTTTTAGAAAAAGTTTTCTAAAATTTCTTTTTGAAAATCCAGGACATACTCTTATATTTTCCCTCTCTCTTTACGCTTCCTCGCCGCTCACTATCTCAGCGTAAGCTTCGTGTTTCTCTTCTGGCTTCCAAGTTTCCTGCAGAAAATTAGGTAATTTTTAAAACCCTAAACTTAACTACTCTATGCTTCTGTCGCATTTTGCTATATTTCATTTTCCCGTTTTCGATCCTACTGCTTGTTAATTCTCTCTCTGTTACTTTGTTGAGAAGGAGAATTTTTTAAAGCTTGTTACACTGCTATTTGCATCCGCTATCTTCTTCTACTATTGTGTAATTCGTTCACACTATTATTAAGGTCTTTAGCAGTGAAAGATGGCACCGCTACGCTACCGCTTTTTGAAACCCTTAAATTCTAATGTTTACAGATTTTAAAAGGGGTTGGGTTCCCAATTCATTTACCTAATTTCAGAACCTTTTTCTTTTCAATTTAACCAAAATTTTGGCTGATATTACTCTTGCGAACGAGTTTGTTGAAAATTATGTTGCTTGTGTTTGGCATACTAAGCTTTTGTTGAAAAAAAATTGATTATTGGTTTGACTGCAACATCTTATTCATTAATTAATTTACTTGTTCATGAATTTCTAGACCCACTTTTGAATTTATTGAATTCGTTCGTAATGTATGTCTTGCTAAGGATTAACACAATTGGAATAAAATTGAAGCTAAGTAGCATGAATCTTTTTCCCCATTAGTGATATTCTTCTACTGTTCTTTTTTATACGAGAGTCCTAGATGTTGGTATCCGAATCCCCCACTTGCTAGATGCTAGCTCTAAAGGATAGTTGTATTGAACATGATTCATGATTCACATTTGTAGTTGCAGTTGCGATGCTTTACAGTCAAATTTCAGTGGCATGTTCTGCTTAAATGATCATGACTCATGACTGTATTTTTGGAGTTTTATCTGTGTTTTCTTCTGTGTGGGACAGAGATGGTTATCCCTCCACCTGTTAGACCACCAAGAGTTGTAAAATTCCTAAAGCCGTATGTCCTGAAGATGCATTTCACAAACAAGTATGTTAGTGCCCAAGTTATCCATGCTCCCACTGCAACTGTGGCCTCAGCGGCAAGCTCACAGGAGAAGGCCCTCAGGACAAGCATGGAATCTACTCGGGACGTGGCAGCTGCTGCCAAGATTGGGAAGATACTCGGGGAACGTTTGCTGCTCAAAGAGATACCTGCTGTTTCCGCTTTCTTAAAGCGAGAACAGAAGTATCATGGTAAAATCAAGGCTGTCATAGATTCTCTGAGAGATGCAGGTGTCAAATTGCTTTAAGGTTAGAACAATTTTGAAACATCATTTAGTCTGCCAGACCTGTGCTTATTATTGGTTCATCTTTGTTCCGGAAATGATAAGTGAACTACATCCAAGGAAGGATACATTTTCGGTTTGTGCTTTGTATGCTGTTCTGTTTCAGTCAGGTTGTGAAAGACCATTTCTTGCCCATAAACAAAGAAGACTAATGCAGCTAATGCAGCAACACTTTGAACAGTTTTTTTATAACTTGGGCTGCTTAGAAGTTCGTCATTGTTTATGAATGATAACTGTTCTAGATACAAGCATTAATGTGTGTTTTTATTTATTTTTTATTTATTTTGCTTTGACTGCCATTCTGTTTTAGTTGGTTGAGAAAGATTACTGCTTGCACAAGACCAATATGCCTGTGATGCAGTCAGCTTATATTAAGGCCTTTTGTGGTCTGTCATTGTATTATTGACATCGTGATTGAACCAGAATTTAGGGCATTGACTAAAACTTTGTTTGGTCTTCTAAAGCAAAGTGTTTTTTTTATAGTAATTGAATGCCTCGTTAAAAACTTCCTTCTTGATTTAAGGATCTTGTAAAAAAGTTCCTTAATCAACGGAAAAAAGAAAAGAGTGCTTTAAGATTTCATTAACCATAAGATACATAAGATACAATCAGGTCGCCACCCCCAACATAAACAAACAACCATAAACAACCAAAAAAACCCTACACAACCACACTAACCCAGCGAATACCATCTATGTTACAACAACAGTCGCAAGAATGATTGACCAGACTTAACACCTGAACATAGGCCGAAAACCATCTAAAGCAAAGTGTTGATTTTCCATTTAATAGCCTGTAATCATTTCTGGTTCTTGTGATATTATTATTAGAATGGTTCGGTTGATGGAAGCTTATTGGCACTAGAGGTGCAAAAAAAATCCGAATATTTGATTTTGTGCAAAAAATATCCGAAATCAGATTTGGGAAAAACCGGTTTTTTTAAAACTGGATCGGATATTTTAAAACCGGATAGTATAACCGGTTTGAGAAAAAATTGGACGATCGGATTTTTTACCGGATTAAAAACCGATTTGAAAAAAACCAGATAAAAAACCAGTTTTTTATTCGGAAAAAAATCCGGTCTGGGGTTTAAAAAATTGGATGACCGGATTTTTTACCGGATTAAAAACCGATTTTTTTAAAAAATCGGTTTTTTTCAAACCGAAACCGGTTACATCATCTGGCCCTCCAAACCGGTTATGATTCGAACCGACTTTTTTATAAACCGATTTTTGACTTAGTGAAAAAACCGGATCGGTTTTTATTCGATCCGGATCGGATTTAAATCCAGCTATGTGCATCTAATTGGCACTGTAAGAGTACTTCTAAAGCCGATAATCAAAAGCATTAGGTAATTTTTGGTATTGTCTTGTGTATAATATTATAGATCATCAGTGTTTCTAGACACTGGTTGATATTGGTTAAGAAAATGGATAACTGGATATATGGTACTTAAAAAGTAACTTTATTATCAATAGGAATATTTAGTGATACCAAAGTTTAATACAATCTCAGCCGCAGATGTGCGCGCGCACCTGCAGACGCAGTTTATTATTAATAGGTTCGATGAATGTTTTTATGTGAGCAAGAAAAAACGCATAATGTTTTAACTCTTAAGTTTCCAAATGAAAAATGTTATTTTAGATAGTCATATATATGGTAGGTATATATAATATGTTACCTTGATAAATACATATATATTTAAAAATATTGTTTGTGCATTTATATTTGCCTTCTTATGATCTTTGTGTTCCTCTGTTTTCATTTTATCTCTCTGTTTTCATTTTATCGATCGTTTTAGTTCCTTGTCGGTAACTGTTAAAAAAACTAATATTATTTATTGAGATCTTACCACGTGTAAGTAAAAATATTAAATAAATTATAAAAATATAATTTTTATTTTTTAAAAAATTGATATTTGAATTTATCAAATGACTTAAGTGGTAAAAGGAAGTGTTCTTCTTAGAAGTCTCATCTTCAAGTTTTATCATGTATGTAGTGTGTGCATGTTCATTGTCAATTAATTAAAAAAATTATAGACATATATTATTTTATAATTATTTCATATTAATAAAAAAATTAATTTTTATTAATAAAAAAGTGATATTTGAAAATGATATTTTCTTTCACAACTAATTTTTTTTAATTTTTTTTTTATAAAAAAATGTCAATTTTATTAAAAATAAAAAATATCCAAATTACAATAAAGGTTTATAGCTACAATTGTAAACTAAACATATAATAAGAATGCTTTACTAAACACAAGAAAAATAACCATTGAAGATAATACAATGGCCATACAAGAAAAAGATTAAAAAAACTAACCAAATAAACTCGAACAAGAGATAAATACAAATAGATCTGATTGTACCAAAAATCGAATCACAAAAAGGAATAAATCTATTGAAAGACCACCGACATACCGCAAGTCAGAATCAAGTGATGTAAAAATACTATCCACGAACGCAAATCACATATCCAAATTCAATCTGAGGGTCCAAAGTAAAGAAGATCATCATGATAATAAATTGTCACACCCCAATTTAGGGGCTAAAATTTAAGAAATTATAAAGTATTGGATTTAATTGGTATTTTGGAGGAAATTGAGGATTAAATTGTAAAATCGCAAAGTTAGAATATCATTTTATAAAGTGTAGGAAGTTCAGTGACTAAACTCATAGTTTAACTATTTTTCTTTTGAAGAGGATTATAAACCCCCTTGTCGTATGTTTTCTGCAGATTTTTCCTCATTTATCTCCTCCGGTCAACCTACTTTGAGCTCCGATCTATTCACGTCCGACCACCGTTCGACAAACCGAAACCACCATCGTGTTCGTTGTCGACCGAAGAACAAATCCCTCAAACCTTTCGTCGTGAATCAGCCTCGTTTGTCGTAAATCTTAATCGGAAGTATCGTCGGTTTTCACTCAATTTTCGTTGGTTTTTCATCGATTCACGTTGATTCGGCCACCCATTTTTGACACCTTCCTCACCATCATGTTCCTTGCATTGTTCCGAATCTTCCGATGTCCTTCTTGTCTCCGTCGTCACCGGCGCGTGAAGGGGTGAGGAAGTCAAAGTTTTCGATGTTTCAGAATCGAGCTCTCCACTGTTCAAAATTGTGAACCGAGCTTGGTAAGTGTCTCAAAATACCTTAAAATAATTTTAGGAATTTTTGTGTGATTTTTAGGAAGCAGGACGATGCCTCACGCGCTACCCCTGGGCGTGGGGAAGGTCTGGCGCGTGGGGGACAGATTTGAACCGATTTGACCGGTCCAACCCGACCCGACTGCCCGACCCGTTGACCGCTGTTGACCGGACCTTTGATCGGCGTTGACTGACCGTTGACTTTTTTCGGGTATACCAATCCTGACATTTTTCGACGTCCTGAGCTCGATTCTGTAGTCTGTTTTTCCAAACTCGAACCCGAAAGCCTCGAAATTTTCAGTCAAACCCGTTGACTTTGACCAAAAAGTCAAAATTTTCGAAAAGTCATATTTTATGTTTTTCGACGTCCTAAGTCCGAATCTGAAGTCTCTTTTGTCAAATTCGAACCCGATTAGCTGTTTTTACTGATTTATCACTCGATTCGATTTGTTTTTTTGGAAGTAAGCTCCATTTTTAATGAAATTTCTGTTGATATGTATCCAAGGAATTATTGGAAGTTGATTTCAAGATCGATGACGTTCGAATAGAATTTATATGGTCGATTAATATGGCATGAAAATCGAGGTAATACATTACTACCTCGTTATGCTTTATGGAACATGTTGATAATTGATAAATGCATAAATTTATATGATTAGTCTATTATGCCTGTTTGATTATGGATGGATTCGAACTGAATACGGTTTAAGTGATAAATTAGTTAAGATTCCATTGAATTACAAGTCCTGTGATTAAGTGATAAAGGAATCAGTCCTGAATATGTAAATTATAATTTATTCCATTAAAGGTACTTGGATGATAAATTATGAGAATACTCCGATTAGGTAAAATTACGAAAATACCCTTATGTTGTAATAAGGACAAGAATTGACTCTAGAAGTTGGATAAGAATTTTTAAAGACATATTGATATGATGAAACTATTGATGTGTACAGAAAATAATGGTTTTCCTTAGGAAATCTGGATAAATGATTTCTAAACCCAAGATGGCTTGTACAAGATACTAGAAGTTTGTTAAGGAATAATTTAAAGTTTAGAGATTATCCGGGAAAGCGATTAACCCTAGAATCTCTAAATTATAATTATCCTTGTTAAGAGTTTTAATACTGAAATTATCTAGTTAGGAAATTATGAAAATACCATTGAGAGTTAAAAATAGTCTGAATTGACCCTGGATGAGAAAGTGCCACGAGGATTCATACTTAACCGATAAAGTAAATATTTAATTGTTCAGATCCGGTTATATCTGAACACGTAAGTAACTCAGAAGCAAATGATTCTGAATACCCCTGATTATTGACTAATGTAATCACTCACCGTAAATCTGAATCTAGAATTTATTTTGTATAAAGGTTCCTGAACACTTTCGTAATACACATGAATTATAGTGTAATTCTAAAGTATCAACCTTAAATGTCTGATTAGATCAATTAGCAATCGATTCCCTTCAATAGGACCTTGTTCATGGAATCCGATCAAATTTCATCAGTTTCATGTTATCCATTCTGATAACTATCAAGTGTCTCTGAGAAATACTTGGATATCCTAGTGTGTTCCACATGTACTACATGACGATTTTATATGTTTTTAAATGAGTTTCACCGAAATTATTGATTTCTGGTTTATTAACCGTGGCAACATGTTATATGTTTTCCGATTACGGTTTTCACCGAAAAATATGAATTATTTCTGATTTAAGAGATCATGGAATCTACTGGTTTTATGAACTATTGTAACATCCCCAACCCGTATCTGACCCGAATACGAGTCTGAGGTGTCACATTGACTTTTCAAACTTTGACTCTTAACCAAATTCAAGGAAAATTTAAAACTTTCATTAATATAAAAGCGGTTTATTTACATGAAATGACCAAAACAACCAAAAATTGATCAGAGCATTCATAACTGACACTTTTCT